AAAAAAATTTGAACTTTGAAAAGGGCTATCGGGCCACTGGGGCATACTGGCAGAATTTATGCTAGTTTCCACAGAGTCATTGTTGACCAAGCCTTTTCAATCCAGAATCCAGCATGTTAAGCATTAAGGCAATGCATCTCTCACTTGTAACAGTAATTCATTGAAGTTCTTCTTTTCACTGTAGTACAAGTGGAAGAACACATCCGATTCATGTCACAGCTTGTTCCAGAGTGGATCTCAGTTCTAACAGTAAGGAAATGTGCATACATCAAGATCAACAAGACTGCTGATGTAAACAATGTCATAAACAAACTCATGACCAAAGAATTTCACTGACGAAGTAAAAGTTGGGATAATTGTTGTTACAACATGGTGACGGTCTGGTGACTTTGACAATCTGAGAATTGTTCATTGAGCCTGCACTGTTAATGACTTACAATGGAACACTTTTACTACCCTTTGGAAGTCATGAAAACATTGTTGCATTTGCATGGTGTTCATACCCATGGTCCACAGGATCAGTTATTAACTACTTGCTTGTACATTGAACTATACCAGAAATTTTGACTAGTGAGACCTTGATTGGGTTTTGACTGACAACAGCTGTCCAATCTAACCCAAAAATCTCCCTCATGAAATTTTAAGAGAAGTGAACGAGAAAAGTTATTGTAACATGCAATATCAAAGGGAAAACTTTCAATGACCTATCAATATCATTCATTGTTGGCTTGTTTTTATTACAGAATTATCTTTTTTGGGCAAGGTACACAGCAGATTTAGTTCTGGGCATTCAGAAAATGATTTTTTTAATAGAATTTTTACATTTACCTAATCAGTATTGAGTTATCATGTCTCTACATTTACACTGTGTACTGATCAAGCTGTGTCTGTTTGTATATTTTTATCATTAGGAATTTATCCTTCAACAGTACTTAGTACTCAGTACTGTATTTTCATCATTAAAAGCAACATTTTGTTGTAATGTGGCAGAATTTACTGAGTCTGTAATAATTTATTGTTTATAGTCAAACCTCTCTACAAGGGCCACCTTCAGGACATACTGTGTGAAGGTCGCCGTGTAGAGAGGTGTCCGTTATGGGGAGATACATGTAGGGTGTAATATGACACCTGTTTTTTGGGGGGTTACGACATATTCATAATATTTTAAAAAAACAATCAAATTATCTCAATAAAACAAACCAAACAGAAACAGAAATCAATGACATGCGGTATGGAGTTTCATGACCTTTTACAATAGATCACAAGGTTTGTTAATCACCATTTGTCAGTCGTTGATTAACTGGCTGTTGTGGAAAAACCTGCAACTGACTCGGCATCTTTCACAAGGTCAGCAAAATCTATTTTCTTCCAAGCAATTATCCACTTCACTATCTTCAATGCTATCATTTCAGACATTGGAGCATGTTTGGCTCAAAATAATATGGCTCAAGAGCAGCCATAACCTGGAGTGGTACTTAAAAGGCTTGTCGGAAGCCATTTTGGACAAAATCTCTCGAATGGAATGACGTCACGAAAACTGAATGAATGAATGAAGAATTGTGTTGTTCCAGAAAATAAACAATTATAATAATATTATTATTTTACCTTATCCATCATATGGAAGTTCTCTTTTCTTTAAACCCTCCCTGTTCTGGAAATTCTAGTTTAGCATCATACTTTCCATTAAAATTTGAATTTCCAATAATATTCCATGGGGTAGGCATGGATATTTTATGGAACTACTCAATATTGTGACAGAGAACAAAGACCTTTACAAAACTGGTAACTGTGTGCCAGTGTTATTTTATTGGGCAAATTCAAGGGCTATTTCAAACCTATTTTTCAGTTGGCAAAAATGAGAATAATAAAATAACAAATTATCATGTACTCAGGGTTGCAAATAATTTTTTTCTCTTGAAAGAACATACATGTATACTAAGAAACCATCTTGGTCAGACAAAACAAATTGTGGTTGGACATCACCAAAAAAGTTGAAAACTTTATATCCTTAAAAATAATACCACACTGGGACCTGTATAATTTGTGAATTGTTTCTAATTTGTAGAGAGAGTTTACTGCAATGACTTTCTAAAACTACGAACAAAAGTAAACATCTCGCTACTTTTTGAAAAGCATTATCAAATCCTACCTTTCGGGTAAAACAGGACATACTTTATTACCCAAGTTAATACTGTTTTGTGACTTATGAGAGCTGTGAATTGATTAAGATCATCTCAACACAAAGTAAGATTTACTCAAGGTAGATTTTTATTTATCCTTACCCTAAAATGATTTACAATAAAAAATTTGCCTGGACTTCATGTCCAGCCACAGTCGGGATTTCATTGGACAAAAGCAAATTTTGGTCGGCCAAAGACCGACTGCTATTTGCAGCCCTGTGTACTTGTTCTGGTGACACTCAAAAAGCTCTTATTTTTTCAAATATGCTTTAATTTGCAAATACATAATTTACAGTTAAAAATCCATTTATAAGCATCTGCTTGTTTCAATTAGAACTAATTAGACACTTGTTCTTCGGAGAGAATTTTCTTTAGTTTTCTGTGAATCCTCTCCATTTTTCCTGGTTTCCACGGTAGCATTGTTTCTGATGCGCACTCTGATAACACGGATGAGAGTTTGTTTTTAGCATGGATTGGAGCTCTTTGTAACAATCCTGGCTGTCCCCAGTATGACAAGAAAATATCTCGACAAATGACCTTCAATCACAAAGCATTATACCATTAAAACATCAGTAACATTCTCATTGGTCAAAATGCACTGCCAATTGTTCATACCATGAGGATTCGATCTAACACACCTTTCCAACAAGAGATTGGTGCTATGACTAAGAGAACCTCTCTAGACATACAGCTAATGTATTTACATCCTTGTTTCCACTGCCCAATTCAGATCATGTGATGATTTATATGGGAGGTTACAATATTGTCCTGTTTGCACAAACTTCCATGCAATCAGTTGTGTGTGACAAATTTCACAATAGTTATTGTAACCTCCCAAATAAATCAACACATGTCTGAATTGGATGGCAACTTTAGAATGTAAACTCATTAGCCGAATCTGTCTACTGTTACAGTTCTTGAGTAACAGTATCTGCTGTTTGTTGCTGAATCAAAGTACGATCATCCCCTAACATATCCCATGGCATGCGCTCCTAGACTTGACTGGAGGGGTAGGGCAGCAGTTCTTGCAAGGTCTCACATGAATAGCATGATAACCTTCGAGAGAACAACAAAAACAAGCTATGCATTCCCCAAAACAAATAAAACAGTTCAGGGTTAGACCAAGACAAATATAATATTTACAAACTTGAGAGAGCTGTTACATTTCTGCACTTAAAAAGGGTGGCAGAAATCAGGACCATGGTCAAGCCAGTGACTGGCTATGAAATAGTCTTCAAACTGGTCAGATGACACAAGTTCCTAGTAGTTTGAGATGATGAACTATTTTTCTCTAATAGGGCACTGTAACGAATCCTTCAATCTGACTGGTTCCTGGCTCAGTCCAGATTTTCTTATCCCTAACCACATTCATGGAGATGTGCATGTGCAGAGAGTGGTGGAAAAGGTCAACAATAAAAGTGATCTGAGAGAAAGGAAAAAAATAACTTATTTACCAGCTTGGGGTTGGTGTGTGCAGTGAAAAACTGTGACCTTGGACTTGAAATGCTGCCCAGCTAGCTCGGCCTGCAGCCTCAGGCAGCATTTCAAGACCTTAGTCACAGTTTTTCACTGTATGGAGCTCCCAGCTAACGGGTAATTATAACATCTATTTTCCATAATCAACTTGTCTTACCTGAAGGTTGTTGGTGAGAATATTTCTTGAACATTGATGTTCTGTTACATTACATGCAGACATGCAGTCAAAGAAATCACACTGTTTGTTACTCTCACAAGTTGGTTGTTCAAGGAAATCCTCCATTTGTTGCAAGGAGAATACAGAGTCAATATCAATGGCTACGACTCTCACAACTTTGGTGATACCAAAATTTCCTGGCTGGATATCACAGTGGTGAAGTTTTCCTAACGCCGTGTTAGAAAATTCTTGTGAAAGCTCCAAAAAGTCTAAAGCTGTCTTTAAGCGTTTTTTCCAAGGCATTGGCTTTTTAAATGGAGAAAAGGAAAATTCTTCTAGGGTCTCCACCCTCTCTACAGCATAAAATTTTCCACAGAAGCCGTACACTCTTGGAATGTGTTCCATATCTTGCAGTAGTTGTAACTTGATGAATTCATCTCTCTGGATTAAGAGCCACAAACTTGACATGTCAGCAAAGGAAAGTTTTTCCAATGAATGTGGCTGCCAAAGAAGTTCCAGAATCTTTTGTTCTGTCATTATATTGTTTAGTTCAGAAAAAGAGAGTTCATTCTTCACATGATCAGACACATGAGAAATGAAGAGTTCGTAAATTTGGTCTTGCTCCATTTTTGACCCATCACCTGTTAATATCAGGTGTAAAATGTCAGGCATTAAAAATGTCAAAATTACTCAGATAAGTTTAATTCACCGTGCCCTTAAAGTTTAAACTGTGGTGTTCCAGAAAATGCCACACACCTCAAAGGTATAGGATGAAAATAATTATTGGGGGACCCTCAAATTCCATGGGGGTATTTTAATTTAATTTAATTTTAATTTTATTATGCATGACTACATAAGCTACTGAGCTTTAATTTTAATTGTGCTTAATTCAAGGTTGTCTGTCTGTCTGTAATGGATATTTTCTAGTAGGGCAACATATTGAACACTCACAGCCCAATTTGATAGGAAAAATCCATAATTGGGGGAGTTAAATCTGTTATAGACCATCCTGTGAAACCAACCCCATGTATCATATACTTTAACAAACACTGTTATTTGAGAACACTTGAGAAATTCAGAGAGACTTCTTGTCTGTAGTGGCTTATGTTTAGCTTTCTCAGTTTCTAGTGTTATTTTTTTCTGGACATTGTTACTTGACAGAATAAACAATAGATTTGCTTTCTTAATATGTTAACATAGGGTATGAACATGACAAAGAAATTGTGCTTCCCCTCTCCTCTCCCCCCCCCCCCCCCCCCCCAAAGAAAAAGAAAAGAAAATCATGAGCTACAGTGACACTCAAACAGCTGATCTTCAGATGAGAACTCTGCAATGTTGAGGTACAATGTTCCAATACTAATTAACAGTTTGCTCAAAGGGACTTACAACTCACATTTCAAACTTGTTTCATTAAGTTACTAACTCCCATCTCAGTTTTGACAAGTTCCAGTATTTGTTTCTCCCATGTGAAATTAATATTATTTCTGTGTCTTTTAATTTGCAGTTTCCGCTAAAAAAAACTATCTAGTTTGGCGGTCAGAGTAATGGAGGCTATCTTAGAAGATTATTGATACCAAGTGTTAAGCATTTCTTACGATGATAGCTCTCAGAATTTCTCCTTGCACTGGTGAATCTGTTGTTAATAATGACATTACGTTAATTGTATCATATGCCTGGCCTGGTATGTTTAAATAAAATCAAAAGGCTTTGAATTGTACAGCAACATAGCAGTGTGCACGTATTGCGTACCTATAAAAGAGATATCTACCTACCATCTAACAGACCTTTCAACTCCTCAAAATGATGGGGCTCTCTCTTTGTCTTGAATACAATATTGTTGTCTTTCCAGGTGCCCGAAAACACAATCGTGGTGTTCTTGTGCGCAAGACAATCCTGGACAACAAGTTCTCGGCTGACACACAAGTCATGACAAAGATTTCCTCCAGTGACTCCGCGGATAAAATCATTGCACTTCAGATGAAAGAAGTGTTAGAATATCGATGTAACAATCAGCTTTAATTAACGAGTGTAAACCAGGCTAAACTACATATTTATAAGCGGTCATAAATTAACAAATGAAATATTTTTTTTAGCCATCTCGATGACCACAAGTCAAGTAGCAATTTACAACAACTCAGACAATTGGAAGCAGGAAGAGTTATCAAGCTCGAGCCAAGCCAAGTTAGGAACGGTTTTGAAATCTTGTGAATTTTTTTGGCCGATTTGACCATTTTTATCGAGTTTATCGGGCTTTGAGTGAAGAGCATTCGAAACTAGTTCCTTTCCAGCCTCAGGAATATTTATTCCTTTACTGTAAACGCGTCATAAAATAAAACTCGCCGAAATTCGCAGCTCTAGGAACAGGGCAATTTGTGACTTTTATCATATTCATTGAGCACTCGAATTTGTACCTCGGAAAACAAAACTGTTCCGTTGCCATACAAGCTGTTATAAAACGAGTAACATTCTTGTTCACTTTTCATTAGCTTGGGCGCATCATTTGCAGGTACTTATGCTTACGTAAACATGTACAGTTTACTTCCGCGTTTGAATTCACTTGGAAAATTCCTGTTACAAGTCTGTCGGTCACATCGTTCTTACTTTCTTTCTCAAGTACTTGCGGCCGTAGCCGGATTAAACTTCATACTGAGGCAATATCAGAAAAAACGCTTCCTTCACCTTGATACAGCCTCTTACGGAAACTTGAAATAAATAAATTCGAAATTTATACCGGGGCAGGTGTCTCAGTTCGCCCCAGTTACTAGCTAAAGCTAGCTAAGGCACTGTAGGTAGCCCTTTAAAAAATCGTAGAAAATCGGAAACTGTATGATTGTACTATTGGGCTTATGAATCTAATGAGTTTGGTATATAGTATTTTCTTCCCCTTGTGACAAACGGGCGAACACTAATAATATTACTTACAAGATCAATCAAGAGTTCCTTAGCTCGAAGCTCTTCACAGCTCCATTCTTTCTCGAACCGAGAGCTTTCTTCGTTAATAGACTTGTAAACTATAGTAATAAATACAGCTATACAAGTGAAGCACAGTAATTTTCTACAACTTGGTCGCCCTCGTTTCCACCGAAGTCGCATCCCGTCGAGATTTCTCTCGTTGCCTCCTACGCTGTTCGCAGACGTTCTTAGCGGAGGAGGAAAGATTGCGTGATATCGCGTCCGACTGAGATCGTGTTATATCAACGAGTTTATGCGTCACAACATGTACGTTACTTCTACGAGGGTCACGCTCACGTATGAAGGATCGATCTCTGAAAGCTGACATTTTTTGGTCGTGGGTACGTCGTTTAATCATTTTATCCTAGTTGGAAGTCAGATAATTCGTCGAAATACAATACATAATTGAAATACAAACTTCACATTCACGGCGCTTTCTAAAAACCGGAAATGATGGTAAGTCTATGCTTACTTCCGGTGGAATCATATCAAAAGTTCGAGGCCATGTAATTAAATCGAGCACGTTTGTGTATTTTAAATCAATTTATGATGGTCAATTCCACGGGTTTTATTTTTTTCGAGGACTTAATTAGTCAAATGAAATTTTGATTTCTTGTTGTACGTAATCAAAATGAAAGGAAATTGGCGGAGGTTGACGCCCGTTGAGGTCACTGTTTCAGAGCTGTTGTTTCGGAATGACATTGTCCCCAAATATGGACCAATTAGTCACACGCGGATGCGTGCGCGTGCCATGATTGTTGTGGCTGCCCTAGAGCCAATCACAGTTGGCGCTGTGTTACTTTACGTGCATTCTGTTGACAATCGCTTGTCATGTTCCTTTCTTTGTAGAGCAGAGGTTTGTTTTCAGCCCAGAGAAGCGGAAGTTCGGTCATGAAAGGTATGAAATTTCGAGAAAATTGGACACGCATTGACTGAGATCGTTGAATTTAGGCGGCAAGACTCGAAAGTTTCGAAGAACATCGCTTATTGTGCCGACACTCGACGCAATGCCGCGGGTTGTGCCGGAGCAAAGACAAAAGTTCGAAAATGACGATTTATTTAGGAAGATGTCACGAGAAACCGAGGTAATTTGACAATTTCAGCGTTACATGACAAAGTTGTAAACTCACATGGCCACTAAAAGCACGATGCTATTGATTCGATCCATCTATTTTCAGATCAAGTATACAGGCTACAGAGACAGATCGCATGAAGAGCGCATAGTCAGATTTCAGACAGAAGCTCGCGATGGCCAAGCGACAGTGGTGAGTTGGTCAAAACTACTCTTGATGAAGTTAGAGAAAAGTTTGCACAGATTATCACACATGCATTGCTCGAGAGAGTTCTTGTTTTTGTGTTGTTAAATCATTACCCTGAATAATTCTTTTTAAACGATGCAGGCTTTCGTGTCATCTGGGACGAACTTCACTCTACAATTCCCAAAAGGAGAGGATGGAACTGTCCCGAAGGACTATCTTGACTTCGATCGGGAACCAGGGAAGGTAAAGGAAAGGTTACGATAATTTTTGAATTCAGTTTGGGGGAGGAATACGCGAAGACGCGCAAATAAATTTAAAACTTATCGTTCTTAATTTGCCGCCGTGTTTTGGAATCTGAGTATTTTCTTTAATTTTCCTTGTAGCTCGATTTTGCGTCAATTTAATAGCAAAGCTGGACATAAGCCAGATTTTAGGTTTCTCTTTTGAAATCACGTGTGGGCAGATACACGAGCGCCGGAAAATTACGCCTTTTATCGAAAATAAATTGTGGTATGTGTCGGTGGGCGACTGACTTGATTTCTTTTTGAAAGTTTATTTGTGTATAAACATCTGGCTATTAAAGCTACTTGCAGCAGGTTGCGGCTTAATTATGCATGTGGAAAAGCTCCGCTTTCACTTACAATCTTGGCAAATGCGTTTTCGGCATGGAGCAGTTCCGTCCACAAAGGAAGCTACTCCTTGAGAAAATCGAACAGAATGTGCGTGAAAGGTTTGCCGAAGTGCTGTCGGTGGGAACTGATGTCGACGCAACCCCTGATAATTGCACGTGCTGACAAATTAATTATTTACAACTTGTAACATTTCAGCATTGGAATGGCTTTCTCATTCGAAATGACTTGTTTTGATCGACCGTTCTCGCGGGTTTTTCCGCGCAATAACTCTATTCACTCGCATTATTATGCCGTGGAAGAATTAGCTCAATCCGAGGCAATTAATTGCATGATTGCGTGAATAGACGATAAACAACAAGCATCACAAGCCAAAGAAACGAAAAGAAAACCCAGCTCTGTAACAGGATTCCATGTCCATCTTTCAAGCGTTCGATCTCTATTTTTGTTTTTGTTTTTTTTCATTTTCAAAACGCTTAAAATTTCCGTGCCGTAGAAAACACTGGTAATTCGTGATATCCCTGAGGCTTTTCCTTTTCTGTCTGTGTAACTCGATCTAAAAATAACAACTTATGGTAGTAAATAATCTTGTAAGTATCGTACAAATCTATTGCAGGCACTTGTTTCCACATACTAAATGGGAAATTTGTCAGCTCTCAGTTATCAAGTTTCAAAATATTTTTGATGATTCTTCTGGAATGCGTAGCGTTTTGTCAAAGATCGGATCGTCTCGCGATCTCTTTCGGTTTAGAAGCGGCACACGAAATTCACGCACGATAGCACTATTTCTTGTTGCTTTTCAGCTTGCTTTCGGCTTTTGGGTTCTCGCGGTGTGAAATTCCGACATGGATTAATTTTAAAACAGGTGTATCTCTCAGTATGGATTGGCACACCGGTATTTGATTTCTTCCTGAATTCGAAGCAGTAATAGCCCGATTGTTGTCCTATTTTGTTTGACACAAGTGCAATTGTGTCCAAGAATGAGAATATCTGAAACAAATTATCAGGAAACAAGAGTATCAATTATATTTGATGTTTGTTGGATTCGTTGTAAAATAACATTAAGACCCTGTCGAGTTTTCCAATGTACAGATATTACAAACAATGAGAAAATAAAAGCTTGCGTGTACAAGCACTTATTTAATTATGCCAAACATTTCAATCAAGCATCGACACCCTCAGCAAAGTACAATTCCATATTGCCCTATGGAGATAAATAAATTCCATATGGTTAACAAGCTAAAATAAAATACAATTTTGACCCCTTATCGTGTGAAACACTTATTAAACCTTCTGCTCTTGCACCAGGCTTGATTTCACGTGTTTTAATTACTAGGAAGGGCAATATTTTAGATTGCATAATTCGGTCACAGCATAGTAAACATTACTATGTTCACTAAACCGTGACTGCTTTCTGTTGAATTTCTTGATCACAACAGGTCTTCATAAAAAGTCGTTTTATCATGAATGGTGTTTGCGTGGTATGGAAGGGCTGGATTGACCTTCAAAGACTTGATGGCACTGGATATTTAGAATTTGATGAGGATAAAGCCAAAGTAAGCAATTACCCTCATATCAACAAATAAACTCTCCTTTCTAGTTGTCATAATTTCAAATAATTAAAGTTAGGAGAAGGTAACATGTTAGGCACACTGCGACCAGTGTATCAATTCTCCACCTAAAATGTCCATGTTTGTACTGACATGTTGAGGAGAAATGAATTTTTGATCACTTGAAAGGATTGCAGCAGGTGCTTTTCTTTGGTTCCTTTTAATACACACTATTCACTTGACTTTTTCAACTTATTAGCTGAAATATATTCAATATATGTATTTAGACTTTAGGGTCTCCTGGGGTAAAATATCGCAAATCACATTTAATTCTTTATTTATGCCCACAACAATATTGGCCAGAGAAAATAGGCCAGTTTGTTTGCCCTAAAATTATTGGAAATTTATTGAATTACAAAACTTATACACCTCAGTTAATTTATTTAGTTATCAAATTTTTCTTTTGCAATAATCTTAAAATTTCTTTAACTCCACAAGCTTTTTTCTCATAACTATCACATTGCGTGCCTTCCTGTTCTCCCATGCAGAGATCAAAAGAGTTGATAAACAGGAAAAGAGGTCACCAAAAATAAGGCCACAAATTTATTCACTTCCTGACAGAGATGACACAGAGATAAGAAACTTAAAATGCTTTTGTTGACCTGAAGTTTTGTTTAGCTATTATTCTTGATTGTAACAATTGGTGAAAAGCAGTCAGAGTTTTTTGTTCAAAGTAATCATAAATCATAGCTTTGTTGGCTTCTGTACTTATTCAAAAACAATTAACTGTTGCAACCTACTGTGCGAGTTACATAATTAATTGGAGTCCCAGGAGTTTGACTCCTGGTGTGTTAATTAAATAATAAAAAATCAAAATCCCCGACCCACTTATAAGCCATTTGAAGTGATCATATTATGATCTGTTAACTGCATGTGGACGTGTCACTTAAGCTTGGATGATTAATATCAGGAGAGGTTGCAAAAGGGAGCAAAACGTTTAACTATGCTACATTGTTTACCAACTGAATATATATTCCATGTACAGTTGCCAAGACTTTGTCCTATAATAGAACTTTGACATATCAAGTGATCTCCCTGCAGGAAGAGAGATATTTTTGTCCTATTAAACAAAATACAAGCAACGATAGGAGGGTGCTGCTTTCAGATAATTATACAGATCTGTGAAAGTATCAATGATTTCAAAATGGGTAGCCTGACCTGCTTGACAATATATATAATGAAGTACTCAGGGAATTTTTCAGTTGGTGATATTCAGCTCTTGCTAAAGGAGAAAGCCATTAACACCACTAGAAAGAGTTATCTTAAAGTGAGTACAGTCACTTAAAATTTGAGAGTTCAATATCTGACACAAGATTAAAGATAACATTCAATAATTCTATTCTGCAATTTGAAATATATATAACTGTTGCAAGGTACAGAAGATCAATAATTCTATTCTGCAATTTGAAATTTAACTGTTGCAAGGTACTGAAGATCTAGAAGTGGCATAAAATGCCAACTGAATGATGGGTTCAAAGTTAGTCCAAAGAGTGCGAGGGGCTCATTATTTCTTTTAAGGTATTATTTGGTTTTGCTCAGGGTGTTTACTAGGAGATGCCAGTGGTTTTACCTATCAAGGAATCTTTTAGAGTTGCAAGCAGAAGAACTAAAAATTGCTGTCACGCTCATTTGTTGGTCTGGACTGATAAGGCATAAAATCTTTTAACATTTTGTTATAAATGAAGACATCCAGTGACACATTTTTGGATCATTAATGAAGTCATCATAGCTGGTATTTGCGAATTTAGTCTTTTTACAGTGGTGCTTTCACCTTTTTAATCGGTTTAAGCAGCTTAGGTTAGCAGTTAGCAGCAGTTTAAGCAGCTTTAGGTTAGCTTTTTATTGATATCAGGTTAACTTTTTTATTGAATATTTATCTATTTTAACAGGTTCTGTATTTTTTTTGGCAGCCATTCTAATGTAAATTTACATCTTTAAGGATTTGTTTTAATTTTTATGATGTAAAGTGCACTTGATCAATTTTCATGGAAAGTCACACTATAAACATTTTTAACATTATCAATTACTATTACGGGCCAAATAAAGCTTGTGTTTATTTGCGCCAAATAAAGATTGGTTTATTTCAAAATTTCCAGCAAAGTGCTAATGTTCCATTAGAAGAAACTATACACTTTTTTTGATGGTATAGGAGAAAGGGGGAGGAGGGGGGGTCTCCATTTTGTTATGTTAGTGGTGAACTCTTACAGGGCTCAATGTGAGTGGTGTTACATGACTATACATACCTCCTGCTAACCGAGTTTGAGGTCCCTACTGTAAGTTACGGATCTTCAATTTTTTCCTTTGATTTGTGGCCCAAGTGCAAAGCCCGTTGGCCATAAATCAAAGGGGGGAAAAAAACATCCGTAACTTACAGTATGGACTGAGAAGATGAAGGTAGTAAGATATTTATTATACACAATTAAAGTAAAAGAAAGTTTTGAACTTTTACTTGTTATAAAACTTAGGAACTTGGGAATAGTATTTCTTAGATGTAAATCTCAAGGAACGTAATTGCACTGCTGGTTAATGGATGTTATTATGTGGATGTATATTTAGATGAATATATTTTATGTTGCTGATCACCAGTTTATACTGGCTGCTCCCTTAGGTTCAGCTGATCAGCTTGTTATCAGGATAAACAAAGACTTTTTGAATTTTGAATTTTATTTTATAAATCACAAAACATTTTGGCAACAAAAACAACTTTAATAGGATACAGTAGAATAAGGCCCGCTAAATTAACCAATCACAGCATGCTAGTAACTGAGAGATATAATAATTCTTGATAAAAATCATTCAGAATCCAGTCCTTTTTTTTTCTCGTAAATTAGTTTTTTTATACTTTCAGAATTCTTCAGTTCTTTATTGCTTTTTTAATGTAAATTTAGACTTGACCTGATAAAGTTACTTTCTTCTGCAACATTAGTCTGAAGACAAAGTAATGAAAGAAACATTAGAACAAGCTAAGCGAAGAGTAGCTGAATTTGAAGAAAGACAAAGACAATGGCGGGAAGAACATCAACGAAAAGAGTCTGAGGCAAGTAGCCATCAACGTATCAACTATAGGTAAATGCTTGTTTGAATGGTTTGTACCTTCTTGTTTATTCACTTGATGTTGTATAATTTAACTATTTTTAGGTTTGGTTTTGTTAACTTTCCCATCACCCTGTCTCCATCGCCATAAGAAGTGACAGCAAAATTCAACTGAACAAAGTGGAAATTTGATGAATGCAATAAAAATTCAGCGATGTTGCTTAACTGCTTTGCCATTTTATTTCAAAGCAGGCAAATTCTTAGCCTGTGAACAAAGATGGATATTTCCCAGCTTTTGTTTCTGCCGAAAAACATTGGTGGTGAGAAACAAAAGCCAGAAATCTGTCTGTGTTCACAGACTAATGAATTCTTGAATTGACACAAATTTGCATATTTGACATTTCGATCAAGTCACAGCCTACATGCGTTCATCTAATTAGAGAAACATGCACAACGAAGGCTGATCCACAACTGTCAAAATAATTTGCAACTTTTAGTAAAACATCAGTTTTGGAAACAAACCTTATATTGTTTTATATTAAGACTCAAATTTCCACTTTGTCTCCAAATCTGCTATCACCTGACTCATGAGGGTAGAAAGAATGAATAATGAATTTAATCAATATTGAAACAGAAGCGATGTTGAATGATTGCTTTCTTAAGTTGAAGTTTTGAACCATTAATTACAAAATCAAAGTTGCATTGTATTATTAATAATTTTGTTATGAAATAAATAAATTCGAAATTTATACCGGGGCAGGTGTCTCAGTTCGCCCCAGTTACTAGCTAAAGCTAGCTAAGGCACTGTAGGTAGCCCTTTAAAAAATCGTAGAAAATCGGAAACTGTATGATTGTACTATTGGGCTTATGAATCTAATGAGTTTGGTATATAGTATTTTCTTCCCCTTGTGACAAACGGGCGAACACTAATAATATTACTTACAAGATCAATCAAGAGTTCCTTAGCTCGAAGCTCTTCACAGCTCCATTCTTTCTCGAACCGAGAGCTTTCTTCGTTAATAGACTTGTAAACTATAGTAATAAATACAGCTATACAAGTGAAGCACAGTAATTTTCTACAACTTGGTCGCCCTCGTTTCCACCGAAGTCGCATCCCGTCGAGATTTCTCTCGTTGCCTCCTACGCTGTTCGCAGACGTTCTTAGCGGAGGAGGAAAGATTGCGTGATATCGCGTCCGACTGAGATCGTGTTATATCAACGAGTTTATGCGTCACAACATGTACGTTACTTCTACGAGGGTCACGCTCACGTATGAAGGATCGATCTCTGAAAGCTGACATTTTTTGGTCGTGGGTACGTCGTTTAATCATTTTATCCTAGTTGGAAGTCAGATAATTCGTCGAAATACAATACATAATTGAAATACAAACTTCACATTCACGGCGCTTTCTAAAAACCGGAAATGATGGTAAGTCTATGCTTACTTCCGGTGGAATCATATCAAAAGTTCGAGGCCATGTAATTAAATCGAGCACGTTTGTGTATTTTAAATCAATTTATGATGGTCAATTCCACGGGTTTTATTTTTTTCGAGGACTTAATTAGTCAAATGAAATTTTGATTTCTTGTTGTACGTAATCAAAATGAAAGGAAATTGGCGGAGGTTGACGCCCGTTGAGGTCACTGTTTCAGAGCTGTTGTTTCGGAATGACATTGTCCCCAAATATGGACCAATTAGTCACACGCGGATGCGTGCGCGTGCCATGATTGTTGTGGCTGCCCTAGAGCCAATCACAGTTGGCGCTGTGTTACTTTACGTGCATTCTGTTGACAATCGCTTGTCATGTTCCTTTCTTTGTAGAGCAGAGGTTTGTTTTCAGCCCAGAGAAGCGGAAGTTCGGTCATGAAAGGTATGAAATTTCGAGAAAATTGGACACGCATTGACTGAGATCGTTGAATTTAGGCGGCAAGACTCGAAAGTTTCGAAGAACATCGCTTATTGTGCCGACACTCGACGCAATGCCGCGGGTTGTGCCGGAGCAAAGACAAAAGTTCGAAAATGACGATTTATTTAGGAAGATGTCACGAGAAACCGAGGTAATTTGACAATTTCAGCGTTACATGACAAAGTTGTAAACTCACATGGCCACTAAAAGCACGATGCTATTGATTCGATCCATCTATTTTCAGATCAAGTATACAGGCTACAGAGACAGATCGCATGAAGAGCGCATAGTCAGATTTCAGACAGAAGCTCGCGATGGCCAAGCGACAGTGGTGAGTTGGTCAAAACTACTCTTGATGAAGTTAGAGAAAAGTTTGCACAGATTATCACACATGCATTGCTCGAGAGAGTTCTTGTTTTTGTGTTGTTAAATCATTACCCTGAATAATTCTTTTTAAACGATGCAGGCTTTCGTGTCATCTGGGACGAACTTCACTCTACAATTCCCAAAAGGAGAGGATGGAACTGTCCCGAAGGACTATCTTGACTTCGATCGGGAACCAGGGAAGGTAAAGGAAAGGTTACGATAATTTTTGAATTCAGTTTGGGGGAGGAATACGCGAAGACGCGCAAATAAATTTAAAACTTATCGTTCTTAATTTGCCGCCGTGTTTTGGAATCTGAGTATTTTCTTTAATTTTCCTTGTAGCTCGATTTTGCGTCAATTTAATAGCAAAGCTGGACATAAGCCAGATTTTAGGTTTCTCTTTTGAAATCACGTGTGGGCAGATACACGAGCGCCGGAAAATTACGCCTTTTATCGAAAATAAATTGTGGTATGTGTCGGTGGGCGACTGACTTGATTTCTTTTTGAAAGTTTATTTGTGTATAAACATCTGGCTATTAAAGCTACTTGCAGCAGGTTGCGGCTTAATTATGCATGTGGAAAAGCTCCGCTTTCACTTACAATCTTGGCAAATGCGTTTTCGGCATGGAGCAGTTCCGTCCACAAAGGAAGCTACTCCTTGAGAAAATCGAACAGAATGTGCGTGAAAGGTTTGCCGAAGTGCTGTCGGTGGGAACTGATGTCGACGCAACCCCTGATAATTGCACGTGCTGACAAATTAATTATTTACAACTTGTAACATTTCAGCATTGGAATGGCTTTCTCATTCGAAATGACTTGTTTTGATCGACCGTTCTCGCGGGTTTTTCCGCGCAATAACTCTATTCACTCGCATTATTATGCCGTGGAAGAATTAGCTCAATCCGAGGCAATTAATTGCATGATTGCGTGAATAGACGATAAACAACAAGCATCACAAGCCAAAGAAACGAAAAGAAAACCCAGCTCTGTAACAGGATTCCATGTCCATCTTTCAAGCGTTCGATCTCTATTTTTATTTTTGTTTTTGTTTTTTTCATTTTCAAAACGCTTAAAATTTCCGTGCCGTAGAAAACACTGGTAATTCGTGATATCCCTGAGGCTTTTCCTTTTCTGTCTGTGTAACTCGATCTAAAAATAACAACTTATGGTAGTAAATAATCTTGTAAGTATCGTACAAATCTATTGCAGGCACTTGTTTCCACATACTAAATGGGAAATTTGTCAGCTCTCAGTTATCAAGTTTCAAAATATTTTTGATGATTCTTCTGGAATGCGTAGCGTTTTGTCAAAGATCGGATCGTCTCGCGATCTCTTTCGGTTTAGAAGCGGCACACGAAATTCACGCACGATAGCACTATTTCTTGTTGCTTTTCAGCTTGCTTTCGGCTTTTGGGTTCTCGCGGTGTGAAATTCCGACATGGATTAATTTTAAAACAGGTGTATCTCTCAGTATGGATTGGCACACCGGTATTTGATTTCTTCCTGAATTCGAAGCAGTAATAGCCCGATTGTTGTCCTATTTTGTTTGACACAAGTGCAATTGTGTCCAAGAATGAGAATATCTGAAACAAATTATCAGGAAACAAGAGTATCAATTATATTTGATGTTTGTTGGATTCGTTGTAAAATAACATTAAGACCCTGTCGAGTTTTCCAATGTACAGATATTACAAACAATGAGAAAATAAAAGCTTGCGTGTACAAGCACTTATTTAATTATGCCAAACATTTCAATCAAGCATCGACACCCTCAGCAAAGTACAATTCCATATTGCCCTATGGAGATAAATAAATTCCATATGGTTAACAAGCTAAAATAAAATACAATTTTGACCCCTTATCGTGTGAAACACTTATTAAACCTTCTGCTCTTGCACCAGGCTTGATTTCACGTGTTTTAATTACTAGGAAGGGCAATATTTTAGATTGCATAATTCGGTCACAGCATAGTAAACATTACTATGTTCACTAAACCGTGACTGCTTTCTGTTGAATTTCTTGATCACAACAGGTCTTCATAAAAAGTCGTTTTATCATGAATGGTGTTTGCGTGGTATGGAAGGGCTGGATTGACCTTCAAAGACTTGATGGCACTGGATATTTAGAATTTGATGAGGATAAAGCCAAAGTAAGCAATTACCCTCATATCAACAAATAAACTCTCCTTTCTAGTTGTCATAATTTCAAATAATTAAAGTTAGGAGAAGGTAACATGTTAGGCACACTGCGACCAGTGTATCAATTCTCCACCTAAAATGTCCATGTTTGTACTGACATGTTGAGGAGAAATGAATTTTTGATCACTTGAAAGGATTGCAGCAGGTGCTTTTCTTTGGTTCCTTTTAATACACACTATTCACTTGACTTTTTCAACTTATTAGCTGAAATATATTCAATATATGTATTTAGACTTTAGGGTCTCCTGGGGTAAAATATCGCAAATCACATTTAATTCTTTATTTATGCCCACAACAATATTGGCCAGAGAAAATAGGCCAGTTTGTTTGCCCTAAAATTATTGGAAATTTATTGAATTACAAAACTTATACACCTCAGTTAATTTATTTAGTTATCAAATTTTTCTTTTGCAATAATCTTAAAATTTCTTTAACTCCACAAGCTTTTTTCTCATAACTATCACATTGCGTGCCTTCCTGTTCTCCCATGCAGAGATCAAAAGAGTTGATAAACAGGAAAAGAGGTCACCAAAAATAAGGCCACAAATTTATTCACTTCCTGACAGAGATGACACAGAGATAAGAAACTTAAAATGCTTTTGTTGACCTGAAGTTTTGTTTAGCTATTATTCTTGATTGTAACAATTGGTGAAAAGCAGTCAGAGTTTTTTGTTCAAAGTAATCATAAATCATAGCTTTGTTGGCTTCTGTACTTATTCAAAAACAATTAACTGTTGCAACCTACTGTGCGAGTTACATAATTAATTGGAGTCCCAGGAGTTTGACTCCTGGTGTGTTAATTAAATAATAAAAAATCAAAATCCCCGACCCACTTATAAGCCATTTGAAGTGATCATATTATGATCTGTTAACTGCATGTGGACGTGTCACTTAAGCTTGGATGATTAATATCAGGAGAGGTTGCAAAAGGGAGCAAAACGTTTAACTATGCTACATTGTTTACCAACTGAATATATATTCCATGTACAGTTGCCAAGACTTTGTCCTATAATAGAACTTTGACATATCAAGTGATCTCCCTGCAGGAAGAGAGATATTTTTGTCCTATTAAACAAAATACAAGCAACGATAGGAGGGTGCTGCTTTCAGATAATTATACAGATCTGTGAAAGTATCAATGATTTCAAAATGGGTAGCCTGACCTGCTTGACAATATATATAATGAAGTACTCAGGGAATTTTTCAGTTGGTGATATTCAGCTCTTGCTAAAGGAGAAAGCCATTAACACCACTAGAAAGAGTTATCTTAAAGTGAGTACAGTCACTTAAAATTTGAGAGTTCAATATCTGACACAAGATTAAAGATAACATTCAATAATTCTATTCTGCAATTTGAAATATATATAACTGTTGCAAGGTACAGAAGATCAATAATTCTATTCTGCAATTTGAAATTTAACTGTTGCAAGGTACTGAAGATCTAGAAGTGGCATAAAATGCCAACTGAATGATGGGTTCAAAGTTAGTCCAAAGAGTGCGAGGGGCTCATTATTTCTTTTAAGGTATTATTTGGTTTTGCTCAGGGTGTTTACTAGGAGATGCCAGTGGTTTTACCTATCAAGGAATCTTTTAGAGTTGCAAGCAGAAGAACTAAAAATTGCTGTCACGCTCATTTGTTGGTCTGGACTGATAAGGCATAAAATCTTTTAACATTTTGTTATAAATGAAGACATCCAGTGACACATTTTTGGATCATTAATGAAGTCATCATAGCTGGTATTTGCGAATTTAGTCTTTTTACAGTGGTGCTTTCACCTTTTTAATCGGTTTAAGCAGCTTAGGTTAGCAGTTAGCAGCAGTTTAAGCAGCTTTAGGTTAGCTTTTTATTGATATCAGGTTAACTTTTTTATTGAATATTTATCTATTTTAACAGGTTCTGTATTTTTTTTGGCAGCCATTCTAATGTAAATTTACATCTTTAAGGATTTGTTTTAATTTTTATGATGTAAAGTGCACTTGATCAATTTTCATGGAAAGTCACACTATAAACATTTTTAACATTATCAATTACTATTACGGGCCAAATAAAGCTTGTGTTTATTTGCGCCAAATAAAGATTGGTTTATTTCAAAATTTCCAGCAAAGTGCTAATGTTCCATTAGAAGAAACTATACACTTTTTTTGATGGTATAGGAGAAAGGGGGAGGAGGGGGGGTCTCCATTTTGTTATGTTAGTGGTGAACTCTTACAGGGCTCAATGTGAGTGGTGTTACATGACTATACATACCTCCTGCTAACCGAGTTTGAGGTCCCTACTGTAAGTTACGGATCTTCAATTTTTTCCTTTGATTTGTGGCCCAAGTGCAAAGCCCGTTGGCCATAAATCAAAGGGGGGAAAAAAACATCCGTAACTTACAGTATGGACTGAGAAGATGAAGGTAGTAAGATATTTATTATACACAATTAAAGTAAAAGAAAGTTTTGAACTTTTACTTGTTATAAAACTTAGGAACTTGGGAATAGTATTTCTTAGATGTAAATCTCAAGGAACGTAATTGCACTGCTGGTTAATGGATGTTATTATGTGGATGTATATTTAGATGAATATATTTTATGTTGCTGATCACCAGTTTATACTGGCTGCTCCCTTAGGTTCAGCTGATCAGCTTGTTATCAGGATAAACAAAGACTTTTTGAATTTTGAATTTTATTTTATAAATCACAAAACATTTTGGCAACAAAAACAACTTTAATAGGATACAGTAGAATAAGGCCCGCTAAATTAACCAATCACAGCATGCTAGTAACTGAGAGATATAATAATTCTTGATAAAAATCATTCAGAATCCAGTCCTTTTTTTTTCTCGTAAATTAGTTTTTTTATACTTTCAGAATTCTTCAGTTCTTTATTGCTTTTTTAATGTAAATTTAGACTTGACCTGATAAAGTTACTTTCTTCTGCAACATTAGTCTGAAGACAAAGTAATGAAAGAAACATTAGAACAAGCTAAGCGAAGAGTAGCTGAATTTGAAGAAAGACAAAGACAATGGCGGGAAGAACATCAACGAAAAGAGTCTGAGGCAAGTAGCCATCAACGTATCAACTATAGGTAAATGCTTGTTTGAATGGTTTGTACCTTCTTGTTTATTCACTTGATGTTGTATAATTTAACTATTTTTAGGTTTGGTTTTGTTAACTTTCCCATCACCCTGTCTCCATCGCCATAAGAAGTGACAGCAAAATTCAACTGAACAAAGTGGAAATTTGATGAATGCAATAAAAATTCAGCGATGTTGCTTAACTGCTTTGCCATTTTATTTCAAAGCAGGCAAATTCTTAGCCTGTGAACAAAGATGGATATTTCCCAGCTTTTGTTTCTGCCGAAAAACATTGGTGGTGAGAAACAAAAGCCAGAAATCTGTCTGTGTTCACAGACTAATGAATTCTTGAATTGACACAAATTTGCATATTTGACATTTCGATCAAGTCACAGCCTACATGCGTTCATCTAATTAGAGAAACATGCACAACGAAGGCTGATCCACAACTGTCAAAATAATTTGCAACTTTTAGTAAAACATCAGTTTTGGAAACAAACCTTATATTGTTTTATATTAAGACTCAAATTTCCACTTTGTCTCCAAATCTGCTATCACCTGACTCATGAGGGTAGAAAGAATGAATAATGAATTTAATCAATATTGAAACAGAAGCGATGTTGAATGATTGCTTTCTTAAGTTGAAGTTTTGAACCATTAATTACAAAATCAAAGTTGCATTGTATTATTAATAATTTTGTTAATTTACCTGAAAAAGTGAAACCTTAGCAATCCACTCGTAAAAATTATCATTTTACTTTCGGTACGTACGGTTAGCTCACTAAATACATTGGCATTAAATATTCCTTGAAATCACTGTTTAACTATGTTGAAATCTATAAATGAAGACCTTTGTTGGGGTTTTCAACGGCCATTCGCATGCATGAATGACCCCGAGAGTAAGCAAATCTACACACAAACAAATTATTTCTGCACATATTTTTCCTGTTTTTCTTGGGGCTACAGACTGAACAGTACTTAATCCTATAAAACTTATAACCTTGCAAAATTATAAGGTTTATAAGATGTTTAAGTCTTGTTCAGTCCATTGCCTCAAGACAAACACGTACAGAAATAATTTGTTTGCATGTATATTTGCTTGCTCTTGGGGTCATTCATGCATGCAAATGGTCGTTGAGAAACCCGACCTGCCCGTCTTCAGTTATAAATTTCAAGCAATATTGCCAATGTATTTAGCGAGCTAGCCGTTCTTACTGAAAGTAAAATGATAATTTTTACGAGTGGACCACTGCTAAATCACTGGCAAGCGCATCCAAGTCAACATCATCCGTTTTCCAGTGAGAATTACTGTCTTTACTGTGAAACTGATACGGCCTCTATATCTTTTTGATGAGGTCTGAGTGACATTTGATGACAGGTTGCGTCAGAATTAAACTAATGGGAATTTCCCGTTGCTGGAAGAACAGGTAATTTTGAATGAATTTAACATATGCGTGGCGGACAGTCGTATTTTTTAGCATCTCTCTCCATTCTCCTTTGCAGTTTTTACACTCGCTTCAGACCTTCTGTTTGAATATAGACCGTCGCTTGCATTTGCAAAAAATACAACTGTTTTGCAGTCTATAGAAAACCTGTCCTCCTGGCCACTACAACATAACCAGCAAACATTTATGGAATGATACATGCACAAGATAATAATATTATTTATTATAAATTATTTGCTAGAAATTACTGTGCCTTTCAATAACACATGTACTCTGAAGTTCAAATTATAAATACTGGGTAACCATTGCGTTTTTGGCTGCTGTCAATCAAATTTATGACGACAACTAATGAACCTAGAAAAAACAAACAAATAAACAAAAAAAATTGATTGAAATGTACCATTCACAACCCACAGACATGAGATCCTTTGAACCCAATGAAGTTAACAATGTTTCCTGAGAGGTCTGCTATAACGACGATTGACATCAACAAAACACAAAAGCAGAGTTTGAGAATTATTGAAAGGCCCAGTAAATTATAACTTGTCAAACCTTGGTGGGCTTAACAGGTTCAGGAACAACAGGAGATGGTTTGACTAATGGTGGTTGCTTCACAGGCCCTAAAAACAAATAATCATAAACAAATGAAAATTCCACAAAAACTGTCAGAAACAATCAAACAGGGCATTTAAAGTCCTCTTACCAGCTGAAAGAGGATCTTCTAAGGGAGGTTGAAATGGTTCATGTTTCCGGCTTGGGGGTGTACGATCTGTAAAAGACATCATAATGTACCATTTAAGAGTGCACAATTACAAGAACCTTTGTAGAGTCAGTCAGTGCTGCATGATATATGTAGTGAAAGACTGACTCACTGGTGGGCCTCTACAGCCACACAGTTGAATCTCTTTTAAGCAGACACCCTTGGGGGGACCAGATAACGTCTGTTTAGGAGAGATGTGCACTTATGGGAGGTTAGAATTTAATATAGTGTTGGTACGTATGTGGGTTGGCCCACTTAATTAAGGGAGGCATCCACCAACAGAGGTATCTGTTAGCAGAGGTTCGAGTGCATCCAATATTGGTAAGGATAGTTTGCATACTGACTTCAGGGCTGAAATACTCTGAAAAAAAATCAGAGAATCAGTGGTTAGTAATTGCCAAAGGAATTATCATCTAAATGAAACACTAGAACAATACCAGTAGCTCCCTTTTCGAAAAAAAAAAACATTGAAATCCAAGAAGCAGTTTATTTGGTGACATATTTCTTATATTTTTCTACAATTTTTTTGTTCTTTTTGACAAGAAAGGACTAATGCAATTATGCATTGCATAATTGCATTAGGCCTTTCTTGTCAAAAAGAACTAAGATACATTGCATTTAACCTCTGCCTACTGTAACTCAATGCTGCCTTTATAATCACGCAGTGATATTAATTACAGTCGAGCCTTCCTTGTGTGTTAATTGGAGTGTTAATGTGGACAAGACCACAAATGAGTGACAGACCTTAAAGGGACACTATCACAGCCATTATGCCACATTTTTCGTCAAAACAGTACAAAATTTATTATGACCAAGTACCTTTGTTTGTGCACCTAGAAAACCATCATGATGGTGAAAATGTTTAGCAAGTTGTTGAACAAAGATTTGCAAGTCATGACAATAGAATTTGAAAACATCTGCCAGACTGTTTCAATTTGAAACCCCAAGTTTGAGCATGCATTAGTCATGATAACACCCTATTATAGAATCAGTTCACTTTTATGGTAATTTTAAACAAAACAACAATTATTTTGGGTTTCCATAAATGAAAATATGTTTTAGGGTTTTGAATTTTCGATGTCATTCTTGTGATAGTGTCACTTTTAAGAAAGTATAAACATGTTGAGAGTTAGAGGTTTGCAAGTGTTCAAGAGGGCTTTGGGTGTCTGCTCACACAAAGTGTCTGTTTGTTGTAATAACTGAGTGTCTTTAGTGTAGGTGAGAGTGTTAGTTGAATCCTGTTACAAATGGGACCCAGGAAAAAGAATACGGACAAGTACTGGAACAAAGTTTTGAAGTCGAAATGAGGAACGCAGAAGAAACCTTTTTTGTTAAAAAAACCTTCCATATTCTTCAAAGTGTTATCACAATTACTCAACATAATCTGTATAAAACAATCTTGTTAGTGTGACTGGTGCACATAACTAATATCAGTTTGAGTTTTTATTTGGTTTCTCGCCTAAATGGCAAATTGGAGACACACACAGTTAATCTTGGATAACCACCAATTTGTTAGGTCAGTTCACCTCTAAGTTACAATTCATTTTTGATCCATAAAACACCTCTACGAAAACATGTTAACACTGAGTTGAAACTTTCTGTGTCTTTAATGAAATATTTTTACAGCCTCTCTCCAAACTACAGATAGAATGGAACTGCGTAAAATCGCCTAAGAAAGTGCAAGAGTAAGTTTCTGCAGCTTTACTGTGATGCTGTATAGTTTCCATGGGATTTATGGTTTAAATGGGCTTCTCCTCTGGGTACTGGACTCAAGCGATAAAATAACACTGTACCAAATGAAGTTGAGGTTTTACTCTTGTTTGTGTTTGGTACCCAATCCAAGGAGAAAGCCTTCAAATAATATATGAATTGGAAAGTTTATTTAGCTTATTTAACATTTATTTAAAGCCTTTAAAGAGCAAAAAGTGTTGTGAAGAGTAAAGGCTGTGATTATTTACTCTGCTTTTAATATGCAGTGTCATTGCTCATTTCATGCGCAGTTTCAGATGTTATTTTGTTTTTAACAAAACAACAGGGCCAATGAATTGTAATTAACCGGTTCTGTAACACTAAGCTTGCTGCCAACAAGTTTGTGATCAAGTAAATAATTATATAAAAATGTAAATGCTAATGTCCTGTTGAGTGTACATTACTGTGAATAAAGAGCAATGTAACAAATTTATGGTAGTTGTGGATATATTTACGAGTAACAAGAGTGTCATACATTAGTTCTCAGTAACGTACACAGGTTGTAGTGCATGGGTTTATTTAGCTATTTTTATCATTTTTTTTTTACCCATACTTGTGTAGAATTCTAAGTGATGTTTTCTTATTTAATTCTATGTCCATTCCAGCTATTGGTGTTCGGCACAGAAGAAATACAGACAGACACCAGACCGACTGGACAGAAACTAAAATTGTATAGTCTGAGAAAACAAATCTGTAGCAAAATATGTTAGGCACTTACCTTTCTAGCTGACAGCTCTGGATTTGTTTGTTTGTTTTTTTTCCTTTATTGAAGTAAAAAAAGGTAAAGTCTGCATACAAGCCAAGTGGCTCATCAGGCCAAAGCTTATCCCAGTTTCAGCAGCATGAAGTGACTAAGAGTATTTCTACTCCCCCCCCCCCCCCCCCCCCCCCCAGTCTCTCTGAAATTTCCAATTCCTTCCATGGTGGGGTNCCCCAGCATTTAATTTGCAGTACCCATTTATACACCTGGGTGGAGAAAGGCACTGTGAGAGTAAAGTACCTTGCCCAAGAACACAATACAATGTCCCTGGACAGGGCTCGAATCTCGACCACTTGCTTCCGAGTTGAGCACACTCTTTATTGAAGTAACACAGCTTAACAAGTACCAACTCTCCCTAGTCTCTAGTTCTAGCATTTTGACGACTGTGGATTTCACTCCGCCTGGATTTACTTTCACCCTTTGTTATCAATTACAGAGAGATAAAACAGTCACAATACTGTCAATAGACTGCACACAAAAACTGAAAATAATAGACTCACAGACTGTTGCTATAACTCAACTTCGTAAAAGTGCGCCCCACTCCCACCTCTGTGAATTCCTATAATTCCCCTCGTTTTGAGTATAGCGCGTTTGTGGCCATCATCTCCCACAATCTTGTTGGAGTAAAAACTGACTGTAGATTTTCAGTCCCAGTACAAACATTTTCTCTATATTTTCCCACCCACTTTGACTGTCTTACAAACTAATGATTAAAAATTGTAGTGTTGTGGATGCAAAGTTGCAGGTGTTCACTGAGCAAACCTCCCTTGAATGTTAAGTTTTTTGTTTGTTTGTACTGCAGTCATAGTTCTGTGATAATTAATATCTTCTATATAGGGGGAAAGTATTGAGCATGGTTTTAACAAGGTATGTATCACAGTTGAGGTACTTGCTGGTGTGGTTAACAAGAAGAAAAAAAAAAGAAAATTAAAACAAATTCCAGGAAATTAGATTACTTTCCCCTTCGGGAAATTTAATGAGAATCAAGGAAAATTCAAAAATTATAAATCAATAGTTAATACACTAACCTGAAACCAGGATCTCATTCACAGTATTCAATATAATTTATAGCCAGGAATTTTGCATAGTTTCACTATGATTATAACATCATTACATCTATTGTTAAAGCCTTTTACTGGATGAGTTAATGTGTGAAAATTATAAATTCTTCACGAAGAATGGCAACACAACATCTCTATAAACATACTTTATTTACTTCTGTACCATCACTTTAAAACAAGTTACAAACATCTTGTACGTGTTTCACAAGGCAATCAAGATCAATTCATGCCGCACATGCTGGACAATCATAAATACACTAACTAATCATCGAGAACCATTATTTACAACTTCCTGGCACAGCAGTATCATGCTACCTTTGTTTAATATGATTCCTGCTAGGAGGTGATCTGTTAAAAATGCTGCTTGAGCGAAACTCAAACTAAATAAGCAATTCACTTGGTATTTGGATCCCACTGATACCTAGTTTTCTTCTTCTTGACGGTTTTTATTAATGTTTGTGGTCACTATAGAATGAGGGTTCTTCATATTCACAAAATTATTTAGCATAATTTACTACACTGTAAAAATGAATTACATGAAGAGCCCTCTTTCTACAGTCACTGAAAGAATGTGCAAAAAAATGTCTAGTGTACATGGTTTGAGTGTCCTACTGTAAATAATTTTAACCCTGTCACTTCCCAAGTGAATCTCCAGTCAGCTGACATGATCCTAAGATTCAAGTCAGTATAAGAAACTGGCGTGAGCTATAGTGCATCACCTCTGTGTGCTGTTGGGCAATACCTTCACATGTGTCTTACTGTTTGATAATACTGTTCCCCAAACCAAAACACTATTAGACCAAGGTACATGGAGAAGTTCATTTGTGGAATAAAGTATTACAATTTGAAGTAAAGCTCTTGCGAAGTATGTGGTTGTAGTGATGTCTGTTCAGAATGAATATTCGTTTGCAGGAACTTTTGAACTCTTTAGCATGTTTTGAAAAGCGTTAACAGCTAGTGGCAGTAATTGAAGTCTGAAGTTTCTGTAACATCCTTTTTGAAAGAAGCTAGTTATTTTATGGTTCACGTGTTTGAATTGTAAGTATTAGTAATTCAGATAAGAGTGATTGTGCAAATTCACTGGTCTTGTTGTTACTTTGTAATGAAGAACAGAGGATCAAAGTTAATCATCTGAAATGCTACACGTACATGTAGCTCCTATTCTTGAATTCAAGTTAGTAACATTTAGATTCTATACTCTATCAAAGTTATATATCAAAAAAATGAATTGATTCTCAATTGTAAACCAATAGCACCAAAGATACAAAATACAACAAAACCAGCCATGTTTCAGTTCTTCACAACTTCACTCGTGCAGTTTTGCCGACATCTGGTCAAGCAAAGTAAGAAGAACCATTTGTAGCAAACCTGGCAAGAGTACCTGAAGAGTTGAATTCTTCCTCTTGATTTCCAATCAGTATAAGCACTAAGCCTTAAACGCATTCTGACAGCCACTTGAGCTTGGCACAAAGATGAAATGTCATGCTACCTATCAATAAGGTAGCAACTTGACTGCTTGGAGGATTGTGACTACAAAAATGTACACATATCGTATACCTGTATGCAATTCAGAAGATGTACTACAAATTATTCTTGATTTTTGTAACTGACAAAATGTGCCAAGATCGGTCGTCAACATCTGGTCTGACTCAGAAGGTTATGCTACTTTTTTTTCATAACAATGCCCGCCTACAAGAGTAGTGCAGAAAGAAGCTACTCTTCCAGGTAAAACAGTTCTGCTCCATTATTTTGAAGTACAATTCAGATGTTCCTTCCTCACAGTACTTGGACATCACAAGTTCTTTGGAACTTGCTTCCTCTTGTCTCTTTTTTGATGAGGTCTCTTTATCTTACCCAAGCAAAGTCAAATCCAGTTCAAAATTCTGCCACAAAGTTCACCATTGCTGTTGTTATCCTCGCAAACAAACATTACAAGAATGACAGTAGACATCCCACTGGTAGATGAGTTTCTCACATTTGCCAATTGCTTTTTCTATAATACCTTACTGTTAATCCAAGCTGGAAAATGCCAGTGACATCTCACGGAAGAGACTTCCCATTTTACCAGAGATGCTGGTTTTACTGGAAAGAGCTTCACGTATGGACTGTAAGTGGGAATAACACTTGTGACATTTGTTATACCTGCAAGGAAAATAACTCACTTATTGACTCATACTTTAGTGTGGATCATAGAGTTAAATGCACATGGAAAGTTCAAAGAGCGTGAAAGAAGTACAAGAGTCACTCAAGGAGCAGCTGTAAGCAACTCTTGCTTCTTAAGTGTTCTTCAAACTACCGGTAAGTGCATCATAACTCAATGATGTACAGCTAAAAACATGAAGCAATCGTCTCATAACAATTGCCAATGGAAATAAATATCTCTCACAAATTGAAGATAACTTTGATCATGCTATGAGCGTGCATCACTGGATTGTGTTATACCCTTACATATACTGATAGCACGGTGCTCAATTTTGCTGTTTGGTATAAGTTACCAAAACTGATCAGTCTTTTTCTTTTAAAATAAAAAATTGTCATTATTACTTCTTTGCATTATATATATCAGGTGAGTGTTGTAAACTTTGCCGATTTTGTATATCAGGGTGGTAATATCAGTATTATTCTACTCTGACTAATTTAACAGTTCCTCGTCTATGTTTACCATGGTAGTAAGTTTGGTAGTTGTAGACTTTTGAATATCTGGTTTTACAAAATTTCTAGCATCCAGTGGCTCTTGACAAAGACTGAGGGATGTACATTACTCTTAGATGTACAGTCAAATGTCCCTGTGTAACCACCTTCTATAAGCAACCCCTTCACATATATATAAGTAATCTCTTTGCAAAATAGCCATTAGCCAACTTTCCCAGCCATACCACCACAGATGGAGCCTTAAGTGAACATCTCATGTATGCAAACATGACCACTTTTGGGCATGATCTGAAATTTTCTACTGCTTTCAAACTTCTTTAGGTGATCACATCTGGGGCAGTTCTAGGGGGGTTCAGGTACCAAACCCCATAAATTAAAAAAAATGAGACATTATAATGTGCTGACTTGGCCTCAGAATGTCGGAAATCCTATTTTTGAGGACCTCAATTTTCAGAAAAATTTTCCAGGGGAGGGTGCTCTACAGGTGATTGCCCTTGCAGGTCCTTATGTCAAACTGCCTTCTCTAAAATCCTGTATCTGCCCCAGCATATGATGATAATCCAATCATGCTAGACACAAAAACTGAAAACAAGACAGCATTATAACCCTGATGTAACAATAATGCAAGGTTGACTGTGTTTCACAAATTTCCTTAAGGAACATTTTTTAACTCACCTCTCTTCTCTTACTAGGTCTACTCCCACAGATACTGGAGGTGCTGCCATGTTGCTCTTTATGACGGGAGCAAAGTTTCTGAGAATCAGTTTGATTGCCATAGCCCCAGCTTGAACATAACTGCAGAAATAAAAGCCTTGATTATGAATCAATTACTCCAACTAGAACAAGACTTGAAGTTTCCATAGCGGTTAATGCAAAGGAGTAGTGTGTATACAATGTCTATTGACAACAAAAGTAGTACTGCACAGTGCATTTTAAAAACTTGGTTGCTTGGTGCAAACAACAGACTAAGGCCTAGTTGTCTCTTCTGCAAGGTTCGTACACTTTTACGCTTTTGAAATTCCATGACTTTCCATGACCTTTTTCATGATCTCTCTGAGTTTTCCATGACCTATGTTAAGTAGTTGCTCTTAAAGTACTGTCAAAACAATCAATTATTTACGGTATTTTCCCACATTATGACACATAAAATGCATGCTAGTGTTTATTTTTTTTTACTGGAATTAACTGGTTTTCTGACTAGTCTGCTGTTTTTTCAACTTTTAATTTTTTTTGCCTGTTCAATCTCAGAAAGTCTATTGTTTTTCCATGACTTTCCACTTCAATTTCAGGACTTTTCAGGCCTAGAAAATGAATTCATAAAATTCCATGACTTTCCAGGATTTCCATGACCCGTACAACCCTGTTTTGACCCTGTATTTTGACTCCTCATTATTTTTAACCATGGAAGCTTGTGTTGACCAGACGGGTGTGATTAAGCTTGCACATTTATTCCTTACTGGTGAAAGCCACAAGGTTGACAGTGTTGCAGCTCCCCTCACAAGACACTCACCTTTCGTATTTGCTACTTATTAAATCTTTTAGGTGAGGGAGCAACAATGAACAAACATCCAGATTCCATAACGTCCTTCAAACAGAAATAAAGACAGCAACATCTAGTAAAACTTACGGCACAAAATTCATTATTTGTGTCACATATCAAAATGCAACTCATAATGACCTTCCATCTACAATCCTTTTGATATAAGTTTATATTTCAAAAGACTTTCAACAGCCCTAATATCCTTCTTTTTGTCATGTATCAAACTACTTTATGTTTTTTTTAAACAAAATTGTGGAAGAACCTTGAAAGGGTTAACTGTGTTGTGCAGGCATCAGATTAAGGTAATTCCACTAATTGCATTGCCCATCCTTGCTCCACACGATTCATTAGCATGTACACAAGCATTATGCACATACTCAACATGAAGAGATTTCCTTCCTGCTAAGCTCAACAGTGAAATAAAATATTGATTGCAAGGGTATTATTACGTTACTCACTGTTTTAAGCAAAGAACATTAAGCAGGTCCACCAATACAGCTTGATCATTCATATCTACTGACACTTGAACTGCAGTCTTTAAATAACAAAGGGTAATTATTAAATTGTTAACAATAATTTCTGTAGTTTCTGAGATCAAGTAAATATGTGCTCATTGATGTTCACATCCTGATGTGAATGTTAAGGCATATTTTATACACAATTCATCCTCATGAAATAATATTAGTATAAGGATGTTGTACTTTACCTTAATGTCCCCATCGCCCCAGTATCGTGCAACAACACTGAGGTTTTTAAGTCTTGACATCATAATTGCAGCTAAAGATTCGTGACCTAGAAAACATAAATCTATGTTATGTACCAACTTGCAATATTAATAGCATTTAATAAGGAAATGTTTAAGTATTGATATCCTCCAGTTTAGGAACCATTAATGTACTAAGAGCAGTTCTCAATATGATGACTGAGCTAACTACTTGGACAAAGCAGCCCATGTTGAACAAGACAGTGTCTGGCAAAGTAAAAGCGGGACTCCTGGAATTACAGGCCCACTGGGATAAAAGGAAGAGCTGATAATAAACCAATTCTTCTATTTATATCAAACATTTGGCAATGGAAAATCTACATGTTTTGCACTGGCTATTACAACAAAGATTGGTCTTATGCTAACATTCTAACACAGAGGACTTTATGATTATTGGTATAACATTTATTATCAAACAAACTTTTTGTGAGAGTAGAGACAGCTTCTCTTTCTGACATGGCTTTGGTTTTTGGTTGAAATTCATTATTTGCATCTTGCTGTGATGGGTTGTTAGCCATAGGGGTTCTGGCCTAGAAGATGAAACAAATAATGTAAAATAAACATGATTATACAATCATACATTTTGATTGGTTGAAAGCTATTTACAGTAACTCTAAATATGGAAACAGAGAAAATAGTTTTCAGCATTTGTAGTTGGTAGGTCAGTCAATCAGACAAAATGAGTCAGTCAGAGAGACAGACAGACAGTCAGATGGACAGTCAGTCAGTGAATCAGTCACTCAGTCAGTTAGTCAGTTAGTTAGCAGTCAGTAAGGCAGTCAGTTAATCACTCAGTCAAGCAGTAAGACAATTAGTCAGTCAGTAAGACTATCAGAACGTCAGTCAGTCAAGCACGCAGGCATGCAGGTAGACACTGGAAAACTTAAAACATTTCTCATAACCCACTCACAGGTAGAAAATCTGATAATTGCAGTCCAGCTGGTTTGTCTCTCTCAGATGGTATCATTTGGTTTTGCTGATTGACTTGGTTTTCACTTACTGAAGAAGGCTGAAATTTAAACAAACAGATGCAATTGTACTTTACTACAGGGGAAGAGCAGGCCATTAGAAAACCTAGACTGCAAAACAGTCATTTTCGGAAGGCACAAAGTGCCGTAAGTGCGATCCTTGCGTGTGAAGCGCATGAGCCTCATACGCCCGTAGTGCATGTGAGTGTGAGGTGAGAAAACGACTGTCGGCTTTTCATACTATGAATTCATTCTAAGCGGGTGTTGTATAATGTCACTCAGGTGACAGAAATTCCATGGCAGCTCCACCCGCATCTTTAAGCGGTTATCAATCACACGCAACCTTCAGCNAGGTCAATCTGGCATCAAACTGGGTGTACTACTGGAATGGCCATTATAAAAAGGTGGTCTTTTTAACATGTCACCCAATGTTCTGTTGGACGCTGCTCCAAGGCATCATTCACTTACCTAATCTTTTCTTTGCTGTAAAAATGTCATCAGGGGCTGCTAAGTGTTTGTCACCATTACCTTCTCCTTCTGTGTTGGTTGACTCTTCCGGTTCAGCTGGCTGTTCAGCTTTAGGTCTGTGTGAATATAATCCCTGACTGTTAAATTTACAAACATTAATTAATTAAGTGAATTAAAAATGACAGCCATGTCTGTTCCTATGTCCTCTGTCTTGACTGATGCCAGTCTCCTTTATAATTTAAATTAGGTGACATGCAAGGATTCTTAACACTGGTCAAATAATATGAATCTTAGATCAAAGATGATAACTTTATTAAACTATTATTAGAGGGTGAGGCAGCTGGTTAAATGTATGACAGTTTTCATAAATTATCCGACCTCTCCCAAATTAACCCAAAATGCTCCTGTCCATTAAGACTTGAGCTCACACACTTAACCGAGCAAATAGCTAAAAAGTGACGCACTGAATTTAAGATTTCCAGCTGCAGGATATATATGTTCACCAAATATCAGAGGGGGAACAAAACAAATAACTGTCTTGCACACTAAATGCTACCAACCTGGGTTTTGAAGATGTTGTCTGGGGTCTTTCTGTACTAAAGGCTTTCCTTGGTGGTCTGTAATTATCACAATCAGAAAATATTATTTTTTACTAGTTATGGAGGAGATAAAGAAGCCACAGGTTTTGCTCAAGATGACAACAACTACTTGAGACTTAATCAATGTGTAAAGTATGTATGTATGTATGTATGTGTTAGATCTTATGCCTTCAGTTATGTACATCATGTCAATGGACTTAATAATGGTTTGTACATTGGTTTGTTTGTAATAGGCAATAAAGAATACAAATATAAAGGTTGTTGTTGTTGTTGTACAGCCTTGGCCAAACTAAATTCAAGTTGAATGTTGGACTTTTATGTGATGTAAAATAAATCTCTGCCACTCCATCCCTTGGAGTTTAACATGTATTTTATCAAATTAATTCATATCAACCTTGTGCACAAGCTCACTACTTTCGAAAACAAGGGAATATAAGAAATTGAGAGAGCATCCTCCTAGTGTTCCACTCCCATTTTTCTATCGATGGTTCTCTTTATCTAAGGAGAAATGCTATACACGGGCTAATAAATATCTGGCTGTGGAGAGCCACTTACGTTTTAGTAGATGGTACAACTTGGGCTGGCTTCTGTTCACCAGGTACTCCCCCCTGGGTGGAAAAAAAATTCAACAACGAGAAGTTAGTTTGTACAGCCCTTTAGTGACCTATTTTATTAACAAAAGGAAGCTTGCTGACAGAGGGCTTTCAATTGGGCAATTTTTTTTCTTCTTGTTCAGGTGAAAAACTACTTGTAATTCAAAGGGAAAGTCTTGGGGAAAGTAGACACAAGTCACATAATAGCCATTGACAGACTCCCTAGCAAGATATACAGCAGACAAACATCAGTAAGTGGAGTTAGCCAAGCACAAATTAGTTTAAAAAAAACATTTTATATCCATGTTAATCCTGACCTCAGAATTGAGCAGTGTAAAACATACATATAAAAACCCAGTACCTACCCCTAAGTTATTTCCTACATTAGCTGTTTCATCATTGTACTTTGTTATAAGGTTTTCTAAATGCTGAAGAGAACAGGATCATCCACAATCAAAAATGATGAATGAAGGCAACAATATTCACTGCAAACAGTCTTGTTTTTGATCAGATTGTGTAAACAATTTTTCTGTGTTATAGTTCTTTTTGCATCTGACTAGTCATAAGTAAATGGCACACTAAAATAATATTTTGATAAGGAAATTTTCAGTATTTCAGTCAATCAACATCCTTAAATATACATCTCAACACAGCTGGGACACCACTGAGATGCTGGTAAAAGTGAGACAGTGGTGAAGCTACTGTACCTTACATTCCTTTGGGCATTATGTCAGTAACAAAGTGATGTATTCAGACATGAAAAAAATACAGTAGACTGATGTACTCACCTCTAAATCAACAACCCATACAGATACATTTGTCTGATGATAAGAAGCCCCAATCTGAAAGGATACATCACAGCACATGTATAAGCTTGGTGCAAAAGTGAGAAAATACACTCACCCGAAATTTTAAAGGACAAGTTTTCTTGGATGCAAATACATCGGTACCCCGCCTTACAGCCACCTCATTATTACGGTGACTTTATTCTGATCCAAAAAAGGCTCAGTCGGTTGTTTTCTTATTTAAAAGACCCCTTTAATACGGCTACTCTGTTAATACGGTCAGATTTTTGTAGTCCATTGGTGACCAGATTAACAGGGTTCCAATGTACTGATAGACTGCCCACCTAAACTACCATAGCTTTTCACAGGCCAGTCCAACTGTAAAATGTAGATTTTATTAACAAATAAAATGATGATGAAAACGATGATGATGATGTAATTTAGACCTACGATGGACTAAGTAGAAACTCAACATCAAGATCAAGTCCGTTATCAATCACGTAAACAATATCAATTTTTTTCCCAAAAGTTTATCAACTTATCACTTACTAATTGGCTTGAGGAAATTGCAATGTCAGCAACCTTTCCCCACCCAAGGGAGAAACTGTCGTAACATCTAACTGGCTCCCAGCCGTACACTCGCATGGAATCTTGTGCTCCACTAAACAGCGAATGCCCATCAGGATGGAATGCAACACACCTGTAATTACAAAATATAATTGTATTATGTTAATTCTTCCACAGTGTACATAATTTACAAAACAAAAGACAGTACAAAGACATCCAAACAAAGTTTTCAAGTTCTCAGAATGCCAACTAACTTACCTAATACCACTAGTTTCTGCATCTGTAGTTGAAACAAGCTGAAAAGTTTCTAAGTCCCAAAATTTTACTGTCCTTAAAAATAAAAGAGAAATTGGTTGCAGTAATGTAACAATACTTCATCATTTTCTCTCCTAACCTGAAAATATATCTAAGCATGGTAAGTATTCTTGATGAACTATAGCACAGGGTTCTTTGTATGCTTATGTTTAGTTCAGTGTTCCCATCTTTGTGTAGGAAGCACACCATCATTGCGTGATCAATGGACCACTCTGACAATGTCACATGATATCAGCAATCTTTATCTGACTGTCAGGTGATGACACATGACTGCACAGTCCACTGTACTTCTACAGGTAACAAAACAATATGAACAACAAACCTGTCATTGCTAGCAGTTGCTAGAAGGAATTCTTTAGGATGAAACTCCACACAGTTAACAGCAGCCGTGTGTTGTTTGAAATCATGAAGCAGCTTTCCACTTGTTAAGTCCCATAACTGGAAATCAAGATGAAATAAAATTTAAATTCCATCTAGATTTAATTGTTAACAATCTTATTAACTATGTACATGTAAATCTGGTAAATGAACATAAAGTTACAGATTTGTGCAGCAATAGGGAGCATTTGAAAAACAACACAGATCTTGTATTACTTACAAGACAGTGTTTGACCAGATTTCCAAGCACCTCAAAGGTTCATCCCTGCTAATCACATTTTCTGTATACATCTTCTCAGTGTTTGGAAATGTGGTAAAACACAGTCTCCTGTTTCTGATGTATTACATGAAACAGATTTGTGCATCAAATAAGGTATTACATGACTGTATATTTCTTTTAAAAGAAAAATCATGCTGCCAGAGCTGTCATAAAGTTTTAAACCGCCCCGCCCCGCCCCCATTGCTGTGTTCTTCACACCATCCTGTAACTAACGTGTTGCTTTGTGGGTGAGCTATAATCAACAAGAGAAGAGACAACTAGTAAGAGCAAGGACCCATCAAGCAAACTCAGGCATAGGAGGTGCTATGGACCTTACTGACGGCCCTGGCCATTACCCTCTGACTTTTTTTATACATGAAAAAACTTACATAAGATTGTTAACTCTAAGCAATTAAAGGTATTTTGACAAGCATCTCACCTTAACAGTGTTGTCATCAGAAGCTGACACAATCCACCTTCCATCAGGACTAAATTTCACAAAATTAATGCCATCTGTGTGGCCCTAAAAGAAAATTACATAACAGCTAACTCGGTTTCCGTGTTTAGCTATTTATTAGATAGCATTTTATCAAAGACATGGTTCCTTGGAACACTTTTCGATTGACTCAGAGGACTGAAGACTGCTAATTATGAGCAATGCCATTTGCCCTTTATTTCAAAAGTTCCAGAATTTTAGATTGCGTGGAAAGTGTCCAAAGATTTTAATAATAATAATAATAAANTAAGATTTAAAAATTTAAAAATTTAAAAAAGGTAAAAAGTTAAAAAGGCAAAACTATGTACATTGGAAAACATATAAAAACTCACGATTAAAAATTATTTGCTACCCAGAATGCTTGCTTGTCATCATTATATGACTTACATTACGCTTTACTTGATATGTACCTTTAATGTGACGATACATCCTTTTCTTCTAACATCCCAAAGCTGCAAGGTAACAAAATCACTTTCATCAAGACTTCTGAAAGGGTGTGAGGGTGCGGGACTGCACAATTTCTATGGTCAGACCCGCAATAGACCTTTCTCGCATTCCAACAAACAATGGTGCCGAATCAAGGTCAGGGTGGACAAAAATACACCAAATGTATGAAAATGTCCACCCCAACCTTGCTCTGGTGCTATTGCTTGTACACACTGAAGTGGAATGCGGGAAAGGTCTATTGCAATATTATTGTAATTGTAGTTTTATTTTTAAATGCTTTTTTTCAAATTATTTACAGCTTAGAAGTGTTAATCACAGTTACCCTAAGTTACTCACCTTCACATTAGTGTCTAAAGAGCCCGAAGCTACAAATTCTCCATAAGGATGAAAATCTATACCATGTATACTACTCTTATGTCCAGTAAGGGTTCTCACAACTGAAACAGAACACTCAATATGTTAATGAAATGAGCCTTAGGGAAAGGAGCACAGTAAGTTAATCTAGTATAGAAATGACCAAAACTAAAACTATGATGCAAACAGAGATAACAGAACTATTAACAAGAATGAGAAAAAGGATCAAAAAGTCAGCTGGATTTTCAACTAGCAAGCTCCTAAGGAGTTTGCCACATATGAGCAAGAAGGGGAAGGAGATGATGACTCATAATGGGAGATCTGGTCCTTACTGAAAAGAGGTAAAATGTGACACTCAAAATCTGCCCTCTCTTTCTAGAATTTAACACAATCTTAAGCCTGGCCTGTGCCTGGAAGAGCACAGTTTAAGATGAGTGTTTACTTGATAATATTCATAATTGTAATTAAGCTTACTTTTAGCCGCTTCTAGGTCCCATATCTTGAGTGTTCCTGACTGAGATCCTGCAATAACTAGATCTTCTCCACTATTAAACTTGACGTATTCTACTGGACTTGTATGGCCTGACAAAGTCTGTAAATGGCACAAAAGTTTCCGCATTAAAAATCCTTCAAGTACTTACATGGAATTGAACAAGTCAGGCCAAACATTAAAACTGAAGGCTGACAGAGTTGTCTTAGTTTGTTTCATTCTATTCTGGATAATAATCTGCTTGTATTTGAATGATCCATTCAAACACAAGCAGATGCATGCATCTGTGTACAGCTGACAAGAGTTACAAGTAGCTCTATAAATGTCCAGTACTGGCCATGAAATCCCTGGTTTCCATGCTTTGATGCAATAACACACTTCTCTATCAGTGGAAGTGTGGAATGCCATCAGATGACAAACCAGGAAAGGAACAATATTAGTATTTTTTTCTTCTGTTGCCTTGTTTCCATCCCTTATATCTGGGTCTCTACGCTTTACCTAGTTCTAGACTTCTCTACATGTTGGAAGTGTAGAATACCACGTCAAACTAGGAATTTTAACTACCTTTTCCCCAACCTTTCCACTGTTGTCATTCTTTACTTAGTTCTGCACTTCTCTACAGGGTTCCAGATACATTTTTAAGGTAGGGTGCCAACAATGAAGTACAATGAGTCAATTTCCACTACTCCAACCAAATCATGATAAATTTTGTATTAATTTGTCAGGTCATTTAGCTGACCTTGTAGGGTTTTTAGCCTGAGACCCCTCACTTACCTAAAACACTGCTCTATGTGTGGAAGTGTAGAATCCTGTGACAAACTAGGGATTTGCACAACCTTTTCCCCATCATTTCCACTAAGTTAAGAATGACAACAGTGGAAAGGCGGCAGAAAAGGTCATGAAAATCCCTAGTTTGTCACGGTATCCTACACCTCCACACTTTAAGAAGTTTGGAATATAGCAAACTGTAGAGACCCAGGATTTCATGGCAAGTACTGGACATGGCTCAAGAGATCAGAAGAGATAAGAAGGACGGAAACAAGGTCACAGAAAAAAATACTTATATCGTTCCTTGTTTTCTAACACTCAAAACTCTACACTATAAATAAAGCAGAACAGATGAATCATATACCAACTGGTCTTAACAAAACTTTGATCATATAACACATGCTGTTTTCTCTCATGGGGCTACATGTATGGAGATGCCATATATTAGCCCACTATTGCCTTTTGCTAACTTCAAGTTATGAAAGAAAAAAGCAACAGCAACTAGATGCACCTAATCAAGAACCTGGTCTGTATCTCAGAGTTACACAAATGCTCACATTCTTCTAAACTTTCTTGTTCCCATCAAGTTGAGTCAATAAGCACACCATTTCCTAGTTAACAAGCAAGCAGGGCACCATTGAAGAGGACAATATTAATCTTACCAAGATAACATTTGGTTTTCCTACAGCCCACATGTTGACTTTCCTGTCTTCTCCACCCGTCACCATTACTCGTCCAGAAGATGGACCAAGTGACAGACAGGAAACATTGGAGCCATGTGCCACAAACTCCTCTGCATTTTGAAAAGACACACAAGAATTTCACCATTTAAAGTCCTTGCCTAAAAGTTTAGATTCTCCACATTTATTGCTGCTGCATGTGTTGTAAAAAGTCTACTTCAGACATAGATGCAGCAGCTTGAACATGTACCACAGAAAACATTATTTAATTTTGCTGATGACTTGTATAAACATTGTAACAGTTATTCACAAAAAATTTGGTTATCTGCACTCAAATAACACTTCTCACACCCCTTATATTCATAATAGTCACCTTACAATTAAAACCAGTTTAAGCAGAATTATTATCTAACTCATTAGGACTGTCAAGCACCGCAAACTGTCTAAATGCCAATCAAGAAAATTAAAAGGGATCAGTACAATTGAAATCACCACACAATCTTAAGAATTTTGAAGTATTTGATTTGAGAAAGTAGTCAGAAAACACAAATACTAACCACTGGTTTTTTTAAAGTAAAGTTTGTATTATGTGGGACTCAACCCACCAGTTACATGTATTTGAGTAATTTGGGTCAAAAAGGACTTAAATACTGGCAAACAGGTAAACTTTTGAGTAATCCCTGAACTGTTTTTGAAAGCTGCCAAGTGTTATTTAAATTATTAATGAAACTGCTTCACTCAAAGTAAACAAAATTATGAAATGTACACATTGTGTGAATAATTCTTATCCCTTAAGAAGATTACAGCCTTATAAAAACACCTTGCTACCAAATAGTCATTATAGAATTATACTTTCGTGACCTGACCAGCAAAAGATCTGATTTCCAACCAAATAGTGTTTCTGACTAAAGTTTTGATAATGTCACATTGTATTTTCATAAGGAACAGCCCATAAACAACAAAATACAGACTGCATAGCTTAACTTATAAGCTTAAGCTTATTAGTTCCTATTCATTCAGCCTAAAGAAAATCAGAATATCAAATTCTTTCTCACAAAATTTAATTGTAGTACATGTAAGTGCTGCCAGCAGACACAGTTTTTCTTGGCAGCCAAACCCTCGCACTGACAACGCTTTCAGTAGACAGATGCGGGAGGTGACAATAGAGCGAAATACTCCATTTAGACAGATGACAAGTTTTATTTGACTAAATGGCTGCTCAAAAACATGGCGCGCCCCAAACAAGTTTAAACGTTAATGTCTGACAAAAGTGTAGTAACTATCGAAATGGAACAAACCGGGACTTCTCCGGAATAAACAGAATAATTAAAAACAAGCCATGTGTCTTTGCCTTCTAACGTTCGTGTACGTTCTAAATTAGCTTATAACCAGCGGATGGAGGTACTGAATGACACATGGTCGCGATGCAAAGCGAATATTTTGACGCTGGCGATATGGATTCAACGATTTTAGAACGAAGATAGGAAACAGAAAATGTTCGGCATAATGCGCAGTGTTTTCCTGTTTGAACAACGGCTTGACCTCAATTTCAAACATTAAACCGGTAAAGTCATGTACTTACGCAGTTTCCATGATCGTTTGTGCTGTGCCGCCATAATTTTAAAACTTCGCTTAGAGCTTCCAAGCGACAATTCCCGCAACCATAGCTTCGTACCAATGCGTTCACATGTTAATTTAAACAAAGCCTTTGTTTAGGTGGTAATTCTTCCCAGGAAAGTGTCGAAATATTTCCGAAACACGGCAAAAACTTTCCTTGACAATTTCAACGGAACTGTACAAAACCGCGCCCGCCTTCTTGACTCAGCAATTTCACGATGAAAATCATGCGTGTAAACAACCCACATTGCTTTGCGGTCGCCTTGAGGTCGAGTGAGAACCAAAACAAACCAGAAGAAAATTGCATGAATTACGTAATAATCTTCCAAATTCCTCCTGCAACTGGAGGGTTACTCGGTAAAGAACCTTCGACGACATGTTAGCTTTGTTTAGACGTACATGTAACGTGGGAAGTACAGGTTTACATGTAGATCTGTCACGCCATGTTGTGTCTTACGTGCAGGGTCAATCGCCTTCTCCTAAAGTACGAGAGTACTTTTATTACATTGATCATCAAGGACAGGTACTATATATACTTCACTAGTTCTTTCTACTGGTTGCCTAATTTTATCAAGTAAACCTTTTTCTCAGCTTCATCGACAAAGCTGCGCAACTGACAAAATTGTTGTGCAATTTCTTTCGTTCCTTCCAAAACAAAAAAATGTCCTAAATTTCTGGGATCACACAGGCCTGCACACTGGCCCAGTGTTCATAAGCTTACAGATAGTGTAAGCTTGTGGTAGTGTATCACGATCAGTAGGGTGGATCATGAATAAGATACATATGTAGGTTTGTTCTGATGACCAGCAAGGCATCATATAAATTTTTCAATCATTTTTGTCCCTTGATTACTTTCTTTCCTCTTTTTAGCTGTTCCTCGATGATACTAAAGTGAAAAACTTTATTACATGTTTCAAAGGTAAGCCTTCCAGTTCCAGCCTGCTTTATCCTTTGACCAGCCTTTTAACTTCCTAACTGAAAAAGTACATTAAGATTGAGAGACGGTGATTTTTCATTGTGTAGCTTGCAAACAAAGTTATTACATATTGTAATAAATTCCGAATTTCACATTGAATTCTTTGTGACCAGTTAATGGGGCAAGGAGCTCTAGCTACTGAACCCTGTTTCCTAAATAAAATTAAGTAAGGATGGTCCTCCCAAAAATGTGAGCACTCTTGGTTTTTTCAAATAAATTGCAGCAAATTCAGGCCAGCATTTAATCTTCTCAGTTGTCAGTTTTGTTGTATGGTTGACTGACTGTACTGTTATGCAAAATATTGGACATCACTTGGCAGGAGTGACAACATTCTGTCTAGGAAAAGATGTCTTTAATTTTTTTTTTTTGCATCTCCTGTATTCTGAGAAGGTTTTTGATTCCTGGCAAAAATTTGCAGAACATTGTCCCAAAACAGCAGTTGCCATGCCATCCCCCATCAGAACCTCATACTGTGCTGGACTTTTTTAACTTTCATTGTTATTTTCAGACAAGCAGTTTCTCAAGTTCTTCTTCAAGAGATTGAAACAAAATAACACCACAAAGTACAAGGAGGACTTCCCATTTATTTCCCCATGTGGTCAGGAAATGAACTATATTCGCTGTGATGACTTGCCAGTTGTTTTCTCCACAATTATTGAAGATTCTGACAACACCAGTAAGTCACCAGGACTGTTGACTTTCAGTGGAATCGGAGACACTTTAACTTTTCCATTTCAACCAGAAAAGGTGTGCATGTTGCCAGAGAGTGGAAGAATTTATCACCCAGGTCCAGAGAAAGTGGGTGGGGCTGCACTGATTAAATCCAGTCTAGCTATTGAATTGAGTCCATACTTTGAATACAGAAAAGGAGTCCAGGAGAATGATCCACCAACTCATTTCAATTGGAAAGGAGTTTGTTACGAGCTGGACAATTCAATGTGGAAGTGTCTTAGGTCATCTGAAGTAGAAGAACTGATGAAAAGAAAGTCTTAATATTATAATGTATTTTATTGTAAATGAATCAGTACATTTCTTTATCTCTAATGATGATTCATTTTAAGGTGGCCAGGATGTTTGATGTGACAGTTCAATCTCAATGAAGTGAAATAAACATTAATAAAATATAAAAATTAACAAATCAAAGAAAGGTCAGACAATGCCATTTCTCCTCTGGAGAGGTAACCTTGAGTAAAACAAAAAAGAGAGAGAGAGAGAGAGAAAAATCGAACTCAGGGAAATTCTTTGTTTGATAAAGAGGGAGAATGCCAGAAAGGCAGTTATCTGAACACTTAGGCATTGGGCTTTTGACTTTGTCTGACAGAAGAAAGGTATACAAAACCTCAAAACATCTTTGGATATTTTAAAAGTCTTGCAGAGTCCTTGAGGTTTCAAAGATCTATTTAACTGTGGCCTTTACGCTTATGCCACACTGAGGACGAAGGGGTTGAGTCAGTGAGTGGGTGATTTAATGCAACTTAGAAATAAATCTAACTTACAGCACAATCCTTGTTTGAAATTATGGCTTACTACAAGCCAGTCGCAGTGTATTTATTGATAGGTTCAACATTGTCACATAGATTAATATTTAACTACCTGTACAGTGTACCAATGATGAATGATATACTAGTCATAGGACTCCTGGGAATTATGATTTGTAAGTTCTACATGTACCATTATTTTTGTTAAAAAGTCTCAAAAATAAGAATAACTTTTACTAACAAATACTTAGACTCACTTCATGTCTCGCCCATAATGTTCATTTTAACAACACCACAGTTTCAGTCTAGAAAATGTAATAATTAAGTAATTTTGTACAACGTTGATTAATTTAGAGCAATATACAATTTTGTTTGTGAACACGTGTGCAAAGATTTGAAGATCACATTGGCTTGAGAGACTCCTGGCCCACAATGGTGAATTCCCTCTGTAAGATGCAACTGCAAGGAATCATGGTAGTTGTATTCATGAAAACAAACATCCAGTCCAAGATGATAAATACAACTACCATGATTCCCTGTAGACATGTCTCTTAGAGGGAATTGGCCATTAAAAGAAGTGCATTGATAACTAGTTCTTAATCAGCAGTATTGTTAATCCATAAAATATGATCACTTATATCTCGCGAGGTCTTGATTCTAGTCATCTCTGATGAGAACAGAAGGATGGCCATTTTCACAATATTATTGCTTTGTGCCCAAGCCCTGGTCCATTGACATGAGCAGTGCCCAGAGATGAAATTTGTAACAAAGCAGCGCTCTGGTTTTGTCAGTAGATGTATGTACATGTGCGTCATTTTTTTGCTACTGCCATGCTAGCTTTCTTGCTTGCTGAAAATTTGACTGGAACCTTTCTTCATCCATGATAAACCAGACTTGTGTGCATTAGCTGTTGGAAGGCTCTCGGGTTTGCTCTGTTGAGACCAAGCAGAATACCTATTATGACTTGACTCTACTTCAGGGAATTGAAGCTCCTATTTCACTTGTGCCTTCATGAAAAACAAAACATAATTTTTATTTGCAGCCATCAGGCAGGAGATTTTTATCATGTTGGTGCCAGTATTGTCAAAGGATACCTTAAAAAAGACATCCAAAGTTCAATTTATTTCATTCATTGAGGCTTACACATTTTTCAAAATTGTGTCAGTTAGAGCTGTAATTTATAGCTCAATTTTTTTTTCAGCAAACCTAAACGTGAATGTTAGTGGGCATAAAAGCTGAGTAATTTAATTTCTTCTTGACTAGAAGGAACTTCCTGTGGTCACAAAAGTGACTATATAAACAGGGTTTAATCACTAAATGTAAGTCATGCATTGCACAGCCATTTATCCACCAAGGGAGGCGAACAGTGATTGTGGCCATAATATTGGTAATATTTATCAAATACAATGCAATTTTGCGTATTCTTAGCCGGCCATCCTTCCTTACACAAATGTAGATGAGCTAGGGGACAAAACCAAACACTATGGTAATTTAAATTAAGATTAAATTTGTCACTTTACCTGAATGTCAATAATTTGATTTTTTATTTCATCATGCTGATCTGGACTAAGCTCAATAAATCTGTTTGTAAATGTGAAACAGGAAAAAAGTATTTAGTTCATTCAATCATCCTTTCATCCATCCACAGTATTTAGCCAAATGACTTATGTATATAAAAGTCACTACAAATGCTTTTCAATATTACGATTAAATGAGTTACTAATCAAACAATCAATATTTACAGTCTTCAAAATGGGGTGACATCTTTTTGAGAAGTAAAAAGCTTGATTTAAATTCATTTAGAAATTTATATGTTTGCAAAGCATTTCAGATTATCCAGTAGACTAGATACCTGGAAGGAATTACGACTGATATGTCAGGGTTGTGACCTTTGAAGAACTTGTACTGAGGCTTACGGAGTGAAGTGCCAAGGACGGCTTGCATACCAAACAGTTCTTCAACTTCACTCAAGCAATGACATCTAGCTAGACTACAAGTAGTCCCTCTTTCTCTTAGCCCATCATGTGTGATGCAAAAGAAATCCGTGAGGAAGAAAACGATTGTGTAAAATCCTGGGGCAAGAAGCATGTGAAACCGTGAAAGGTCAAACTCTCTGGCTTTGTCGGTGGTCACTCCTTTTGTGCGCTTCTTACACTCAGGATTTCGCACAGCCATAATTTTTGTCTTTGCTGTTAACTTAATATCGTCTCGCTTGATGGACTAAGCAAAAGAAGGACTACTAGTAGTCTACATCTAGCTGGTTTTCTTTTCTTTTTCATTAAACTAACTGCACACTGCCATTGCCTCTTGCACAGTAAAAACACCAAATCTGAGAACGTGAAAAATGCTATCTGTGTCTCTTACCTAATTGCATGAGGATCATCTGCCAAAGGTAGATGTAACTCATTCAGACAGGTTCTCAGTGACATGTTCACTTTTTGTTTAAAAGTATCTCTATCATTTTCATACCTTTAGGTGAAAAGAACAACAACATCATTAAGAGTTTCAAAAGTTTTTTTTATTATTATTATTATTTGTTGATTGAGTTCAGTGAAGGGTGCAATATGTATCAAACAAAATCTGTTGAATACTACTGACAGGGAATTCGAATATTACCTGTTCAGTTAACAGACCAGGTGACAGTAAACATGATTTCAGGTACTTGCTGCTGTCTATAAGGAATTCATCAATGTCTTATTTTGCAGCTGGAAAGGTGTGACATAACCCCTGTCAGAGGAGGTTTTCAAGAGCAGTGCTGTTTGTATGATGGTCAGGACCAGCCCCCAGTAGGAGGAGTCATTCCAATTATACGTACAAACCTGTTCAACTGTTACACTGTACATGTAGATCATGCCATCTGGGTTCGAGCCCTCACTGGGGACACAGTGTTATGTTCTTGGGCAAGACACTTAACTCTCCCAGTGCCTCCCTCCACCCAGGAGTATAAATGGGTACCAGCGAAATTGTTGAGGAAACCTAACAAACTGTGGGGAGTGACCTGCGATGGACTAGCATCCCATCGAGGGGGAGTAGAAATACTCCTAGCTGCTTCATGCTACAGAAACTGGGATAAGCTCCAGCACCTATGAGCCAGTTGGCTCCAAGGCTTCACACACTATATGATGTCATTATGGCAATGTTGGTGGTCGGACATACATGTAAGCAAAAGCTTTTTCATTATAGTTGATCTTAAGCTTATCTTGTTTGTTCCACCAACATGGCTGCTACACATCTTTATTATCAACAAGGTTACAGATAGTACTCACAAGTTGGCAGCTTCAGGGTTGAGCGGACTCTTCATATCAATTTTATAAAATATTCTCCTAGCATACAGCAACACTTGACACAAGCGATTTATGTTTCTCCTGAAAATGGAAAAACATATTTAAGCAGCAAAACAGACAAATTTTACAAATTGAAGCTCTGGCTACACAGGCAATTTTCTGCTGGAAAACATAAATCAAATATTAAATGGCATTTGTTTTGGAAAAAAACAAACAAATGCCATAGGAGTACATGTATTCTTTTGCTAACAAAGATATAAAAATTTCAATATTTCTTTGCTGATGGTATGTGAATGTTGAAATTTTAAGAAAACAAATGATCAATATTATTATAGATAGCAATGATTATCAAAACCATTAAATACCACTCTACCTCCACTTTGGAAAAGCTCTTTTCACATCAAGTTCTCCAGTCTCCATATTTACGACGGGATGAAATACAGGGGGTTTAAAAATAACACTCTGTAAAATAACAATGTTTATTTAGCTTTAGTTGGCATAAAACACAGGGGAATAACTAATCACCACCCACAACTAGGCAGAACTTTTAATTAACTCTTCTGAGTAAATTTTTATTTAAAGGTAGCCAAACAAAGTGGATGAATGGAACATTTGACTTATTTGTTTCACTGGAAGCCAGGGGATGATCATTGACCAACACAGCTTTCAGATGTGCTTGATGCCCTTCAACTTGTGTCATATTTGTAATTACGTTTACTTTTATTACGTGTAGTACCAACTTTTCCATTCCCAAGTTCATAGAACAAATACTTACAGGGCAATCTCCATCTGGAAAATTTTCTGGAATTTTCATGATAAACTTGAAAATGCCATCTTGATAAGAGCCCATCCTGATAAAAATCACTCCATACCAGACTGAAAAATTATTAGAAAAACAAGTTTAATTAACAAAGATACAGCCAGAGAGCCGGTCAATAGTTATTACCTGTGTACACATAGTTAATAAGATTTATTTTCCATTATGGTCTGCCACTGGGTTGTGCTAAATTCATTAAAAGCTGGAGCATTAGATAATAATAATAAAAATTTAATATGTGTTTCCAGAGTTTTGATTGGTTCTGCAGCCAGTAGATATCACCCACTACTACCGTGCCTGACAAATATGGCCAATAAAAATTGCCTTATAGTCTTTTTTTGACCAAATAAACTTTGCAATATTTACAGATATTTTCTTGCTGTCTTTAATAATACTTCACAGTCATTACCATACTCCTCCTTATGCAATGTGAGACGATTATAACATGTAAAGCTCTGTGTGGCCCCTCTACCATCTTATACCCAATGCATGCTTGACATTAGTCAAATAGTTATTCAATAAATTTAGACATCTCTCCAGCTGTCTAGGATGTGACTGGTGAATGTTTCTCTTTTAAAATTTCATAGTAGATACCTTATTACATGAAATTTTGGCGACACTTTAATTTAGCGATATTANTACTTACTTAGAGGAGACTTGGCAGCTGGTAAAACATAGACACCGGGGAGTCTTTGACTTCTAAGCTGGTTACTGTTGAGATAAGATGATAAGAAAAAGAAAAAAGCTGTGACTAATGTGTCACAATATCTCATCAAGTCAGGGTTTAACTGGAGTATTGTTCTTTTACTGAAATGTGTGATGCTGGTCCACCTGGGTAAAGTGATAAGTTTCTAAAGACTCTATTGTGCTATGTCAGCAGGCTCCTTCAACTTTAAGTTGCTTAAGGCAATTTAACTGTTCTATTAAGTTAGTGAAGGTGATCACTGATGTTCTGAGCATGAGTCATTTGTCCCAGTTAAAGGCTGGCAAAGGGCAAACAAAGGGCTTATGTTCAAAGCGTTAGCTTCACATACTCATATAGTTATGTATCAACTTCAAGTTCATACATAACTGTGTGCATGTCAATCTTAGTCTAATGCTAGCAGTTTTGTCAACATGAAATTTCCAAAATCCTCGGGCTTCCTTATTTGATTGCCAAGCCATCATGTTTAACTATGGCCATGTAAAATATCCCAAGGTTGTCACACAGTTTTGAAGTAGGCAGTGTTATTGATGGAGTTGGTAGTTGATTTTGCCATCTTTATCTCAAGGCTAGAATCAAACAAAAAGTCCAATCAAGCAGTTAGCTGAGTCTGATCATGAGGCTGACCAGCTACTTTTGACAACCCTGATTCCCTTGCATAGTTCTGAA